AGAGAGGGAGAAAGTGACGAGAGAGAGAGGAAGAGAGAGGGGGAAAGACGACAGGGAGAGAGAGAGAGCTATATATATAGAGAGAGAGAGAGCGAGAGAGGGAAGGAGGGAAACAGAGAGGACAACGGCACGTTACTCCTATCCTACACAAATATGCCGTGGCGCACCGTATATCTCTTTCACACTATGTTTCACGGTCTCTCACATGTTTCTCTGATTCTCCTTCTCACAGCGCCTAGCGAAACTGCTTCCTGCAGGAGGAGAGGGAAACATCAACTGGTTTGACCTTGACCCGGCCACGCTGCTCGATGACCTTACGTGGGAGGTCCAGGTCTTCCAGCCGAAATGTGTCAACCCGGACTATCGTGAGTGTGACGTATCGCGTCGCCGCTGCAACAATGGCCGCCGAGTTAATTAATGGCCGTGGAAGTAATTGAATTAACGACGGCAGCAAACAGCGTGAAATTTACGACTAATTTATATTGTTGACTTTCACTGTGAATCGTTGACCTTGAACGTCAGACGTTGACCTTTACCGCTATCATTGACCTTTGCTGCTGACCATGGACATTTACAACTGACCATGGACGTTTACCGCCGTGCATTTTCTGTGTTGGCACTGACCGTACTGCTTTTACAGCGATTAGTAATGTTTGCTTTACAGCCGATCTACACTTTGAGGGAATCCTGATTCTACCGAAGCCATCTGAGACAGAGAAGGAGGGGAGCAAGGCGGGAGAAGCTGGGAAACCTCCTCTCATTATCTTTCCTCATGGTATTAACCTGCCACCCTCTAATATACGTGCATGTGTGTGCGTGGTTGTAACATAAGAATTCGTAATATATATATATATATATATATATATGTATTACGCATTTCTATGTATGAATACTATGAAATAATAAATATTTTATTTTATATATTTATATATATATATATATATTTATATACTAAATATTATTGTAAAATTATAATAGATGAATTATATCGTAAAATATTATATTAAAAAACAATTTTTCTGCTGCTAGACAGACGTTGGCGCTGACTGTTCGCTTGTTTCTCTGCAGGTGGCCCTCACAGCGTACACCTCGCCGGCTGGAACCTCTACGTCGCCGGGTTCGCTAGACTCGGATTCGCCATGATGCTCGGTAACTCCCCCTGGTGGTGACGACGGTCGTGTCGTGTTCGTCGGGCGTGGTCTTACGATGAACACAGTGACACATTACGTTGGTAATTGTCACTGCTGTTGTGAAGCCGTTATGGTCGTTAGGTTGCTCCTTGGGTGGCGCGATCAGTCCTGAACAAGATTTGTTGTCATCAAGTAGGATTTACTTTGTGTGTGTGTTTGTGTGTGAGAGAGAGAGAGAGAGAGTGTGTGTGTGTGTGTGTGTGCGTACGTACGTGCGTGCGTGCGTGTGCATGAGTACACGTGTTCCGGTGAACAACTCACGGTTCGGTCGTACCGCGGGGGGATCGTGAGTGGTGACGATGTGAGAACATCCACGCGTTTGTTCCAGTGAACTACCGCGGTTCCACCGGGTTCGGGGACGACGGAATCTTCTCCCTGCTGGGGAACTGTGGCAAGCAGGATGTGGCAGACTGTCAGGTACGTTGTTTACTTCTCCTCCTTGTTTGTTGTTTGTTTGTTTCTTTTTTTGCCAAGTACGTTGTTCCGTTCTCCTTCTTCCCCTTATTTTGTGTTTGTTTGTTGTTGTTTTGTTGTTGTTGTAGTTTCTGAGTCGGACAATGTCACCATGACAAAATTCATAATTTCGTTGCATCGTAGTGTAAAAGAATTTCCCCCTCAAGATTTTTATATGCATTTTCAAAGCGTGTGAAACCGTGCGATGCGCGTATCACAGGCGTCTGCTCCTTTGGACACCATCTTTAAATATGGCCGCCATTATTCAGTCGTGTCTGACCGCTTTAATGCTCAATTAAACCTTACTCATTGCCCATAAAGTAAAACCGTTTAACATTTTGAGTAAACGTAGTGCGCATGTTCGTTATTGTTTGTCGGCGTTCTATTATTTAATCGTCTTTCGCGTCGTCGTCTCGCTCACTCTCTCGTCATCGTCGTGTTTCAGCAATGTGCGGACGAGCTGGTGGCATCGGGCGTTGTCGACGGCAACCGCGTCGTCTGCTTCGGCGGGTCATACGGCGGATTTCTTGTTGCTCATCTCATCGGACGCTACCCTGTGAGTCTCGAGTATTAAGTATTATTATTATTTTATTATTATTATTATATATTCTTATGTTATTATTACGCAGTGGCTACGCGTCCCTGTCTCCATTATACAAAGCCTCAGCAGAATCCCTAAATCCCGTCCGAATTAGCACGGCCCCCTTTCAATCGTTGATCTATACTGGATTTACTATTGCTATTCATAGTTAGATAATTGTTTGTAAATCGCTAAGGGTAAGTAATATCTTATGGTAAAAAAATTTTACTGAAAAAATATAGTTAGGTTCACATAAGAAATATATGACCGGACGCATATTATTACAAGTAAAATTAATATATGGAGGATTTTTTTCGCAGGATTTCTACAAGGCTGCCGAATGCAGGAACCCTGTCACCAACATTGCTAGTAAGTACTGACGATACTAGAGATTTATGGCATCATAAAGGTTATAATATTTAAAATAATAATTTTTCGAGGGAATATTTCTTCGTACTATGTACTATGACACGATGAGGTCACGTATTATTTATATATATGTGTGTATATATACATACATATATATGCATCGCTGACGTCCCGCACGGTCTCCCCGCCACGCGTGACCTTACCGCGACCTTCACACCGGCTCCTCTCTCCCTGCAGCTAAGTTGGGAGGCTCCGACATTCCGGATTGGAGTTACGTGGAAGGAGGTTTGGGAGCGTTCCACTTCGGACGCGTTCCGACCCCGGCCGACCTTGAAAAGATGCTGAACGATTCGCCAATAGTGCTAGCTGACAAGTACTTAATTATGTAATTAATATTAATTTACTTATTATTATCAAAATTATTTAAAAAAATTATAAAGTTATGTAAATTATTAATAACTTTTTAGGTACTTATATTAGGTATACATATTAATTATATAATATAATACGTATATAAAATAATAGTAATTATATTTATAATACGCTTAATTTTCCTGATTTTCTTGATTTCCCTCGGTCCTATTCGATGATAAGATATGCGATTAATTTTGGAAGCCACGCTAAATACTGGGCCAAATCCATTTCAAAAACAACTTGAATCAAACCGTATACAAAATTTTCCCAATTAAAAGAAAAGTCTAGTGTCCTTTATAGACAGGCGTCTGTTATACGGAGGTGTACACTAACACTGGGTAATTTCATTCCACGACAGTCTTCATTCACGGTTCATTCACGGTCTTCATTCACGGTCTTCATTCACGGTCTTCATTCACGGTCTTCATTCACGGTCTTCATTCACGGTCTTCATTCACGGTCTTTCATTACGGCTCTTGCATTCACTGGTCTTCATTCACGGTCTTCATTCACACGCTTGGGGCGTCGTTTCAGATGAAGACTCCGCTGCTGCTGATGATAGGGGGCGCTGATAAGATGGTGCCGCCGCAGCAGGGACACGAACTACAAAGCACTGAAGGCGAGACACGTGCCCGTCAAGTAAGTCTACGTTAACGATCCCCCCTATACATTAATATTAAGGTGATATAACATTAAATAACATGTAATAATATAACATTTTTTATATAACGATTGGTCCGCTACTATCATTGTAAATCTACATCACCTTTCTATTCTCCGTCAGGTGAGCCGTTACTCCGATTCTTTCCCTGACGTCCTATAGAATAAATCGTAAATCTTTCGTCTTTAGATTCTCCATCAAGTGAATCTAAATTAACGATCGTAACGTAACGGACGTCCTCTAATATTTCCTCGTAATTTAAGGCAAGACACATCCCCGTCAAGTGAGTCTACGTTAACGATCCCCGATGTAACCAAGGTCCTCTAATACATCCTAGTAATTTCATATATCGTAAATCTATCCCTATTCGAAAGACAGGTCAGGTCCCCCCCCTACCTCGATAGAAACGTGGTGAAGTTGCTGTTATGCTGGAGTCTGCCTGACAGCAGGCCAGCAAACAAATTTAGCAAATGGAAACCACGAACAATCCGTGATCTTTCGTATCGTTTGTGACGTAACAGCAATTTTTTTTCCTAAATGTTTTCGGGAACGTTGGCGGCTTTCGTAAAGCGAGTGAGCTCGATGCGAACCCGAAAAGGGAGTGGAGGGATAGCGGGTGGCACTGCCGTGGATCTCGGATGATTACTAACATGGCTCCATCTCTTTCTCCTGCGTCTCTAGGATGTATGTGATGGATGACAACCACTCTCTATCGAAAGTCGACGTGGATTCGAACGTGTTCGTTCACTCTATCCGCTGGTTGCTGCAGCACATCGGTGGCGCCCTACGTCATCAGCGTGATGTCGTTGACCCGTCCGCCTCGATCTGTGATTAGTGTGTACGTGATTGTTAGATTAGCGTCTGACAAGGATTCATGATGGACATAAATGGTATGTTTTTTCTCCTCTTTGTTTTCGGCCCATGTTTGTTTTGATGGTCACCTTCGTATGACGGCCATGTTTGTTTTGATGGTCACCTTCGTATGACGGCAATGTTTGTTTTCGCCGTCTTCATCATTCGTCTGCTTCTCTGCGCAGGATGTACGTTGCCGACGACGACCACGCCCTCTCCAAGGTCGACCTGGAGGCGGACCGGTTTGTGCAAACCAGCCTCTGGTTCCTGCTGTACACAGAGTCCTCCGCCGCCGCCGCCGCCGTCACCGCTCCGGCGGCCGATTAGACAGCAATCTTCGCGCTGCGGCCATGTTTGATTCGTCTTATGCGCGCGCGTATCTTTGCACGGTGGCCATGTTTGATTCGTCTTATGCGCGCGCGTATCTTCGCATGGCGGCCATGTTTGATTCGTCTTATGCGCGCGCGTATCTTCGCACGGCGGCCATTTTTTATTTGTCGTTTGCGCGCACGTGGTTTTGCGGTGGTGTCTTCCCCGGTGATTGTGGGTCGCAACGTCATTCTTAATTATGCGTGATTATACGTATTTATGTGATCAGTGATATACGCGCACGCGTTCCACGTCGATGAAACATCAGAGCCGTTGCCGCATCATTCATAAGTTGTGTCGGAATGCGGAGAGAGATATCGTCGTGGCGACGCCTGAGGTACGGCGCTCGATATCGCGACTCTGTATTTTTCTATAATTATGAAGATTCGTTTGAATTCTGTAAAGAAATTATGTAATAAATCACTGTAATAATAACTATGTATATATACACTGTACCTGTTTGTTATTGAAATGCGTGTGTTTGTTTAAAGAAAAAACTTGGACATTGCTAGTAAATGAAAGTGCTGTGGTTACAACTTACAGGCAACGTTTGGTGAATATGATGATAACACGTACTAGGGGGGGTCGCAGTGATATATTGGTGATTTCTTGTCAATTTACTACCTAATACCCTAGCTAATAGCTGAATAATAGATTAAAAAGTTAAATACAGAATTATGTCATTGCCAACTAAATACCGTTATTACGTACAAAAACTTGTACAATTTAATAGTGGGGCATAATGCAAATAAATTTATTTTATTTTATTTAAAATTAATATTGTACCAGCAACACTATAGCCCATTTTAGATGCTATTTTTCAAATAACGCCTTCTAAATTTGACATTATGGCTTCAGCCTCCTTTGACCGCAGTATCCCCTGAGCTTAGCACCCTGACTTCAGCGACCTCTAAACCAGGGAGCACCTTAAAACCGGGCCACTTTCCCCTTCGACACAGTATCCCCTGAACTTGGGGGGGGTCATTGGCTGTGTGCCCCTACTCTCTGCTAGCACCCCCTACTATCTACTGGTCCGTGGAAGATTTCTCAGAGGGGTACAGGGGGTTGTCTTCCTCCCGCCTCCCTCCCCCTCTCCTCCCGCCTCCCTCCCCCTCTCATTAATAATGTATTTTACGGTTACACATAACGTACAATGTGCGCATATGAATTATTTGTACCGATAGATGGCGCGAGGATGTCATATTTGATCAAAGTCGCTGCTACATCCTTGAAATACATACATCAAAGTGTAGGATGGGAATTTCACGGCCAAGCCTTTACCAGTCTTATACAGTAAATGTTGTTTTGTATATGTACTGTAATTATATAAATTTCACTCTACGTTAAATATGTTTTAGAGTATTATAATACTTTTAATAATGCATTTGACGGTTAGACATAACATACAATGTGCGCATATAAATTATTTCTACCGAGAGATGGCGCGAGGATGTCATATTTGACGTGACAATAATATCCCCTCTGCGCGCGAACTACGCGTGTATGCAGTATGCGTGTATGTACACCAGTTTGCGTGATAAATGTATTTATCCTGTACAATGTATTTTCTCATGTATTTATTTCTCGTGCTATGGATTTCTTTTATTCTCTCTCTCTCTTTTTCTCAAATCTCCTGCCAACTGGCCTCCCTACTCTCACTCCTCTTCCCCTCCCGCTTCCCGCCTCCTTTTCTCCCGTCTCCCGCCCCATCCTCTCCCGTCTCCCGTCCCCCTTCTCTCGTACCGCCGCCCCCTGTACCCCCTCATCTATACATACATACACAGGCCCTTGGAGGCTCAAGTTTCAAGAAGAGTACTATAACTGTAAGAGCGAATAGTTATAGTACTCTTCTTGAAACTTGAGCCTCCAAAAGCCTGTGATACATAGTACAACCAGGAGTGAATAAATACAAAAAAACGTTTTTTATCTACTCATGATACAACCAAGAACGTATAAAGAAGGGAATAATAAAGAAGCAAAACCTTCTTTATACGCTCTTGATACAACTAATACACATGGCATTTAATTATTTTGACTGATTACTATATATTTAATAATAATAAATAATATTTCCTGAAAAGTTGAAACATTACAGTCAGAAACTCTTAGGTCGTAGAAGGGGAAAATCTATGAACAAACTTATGGCAAAGTAAGCTTACATTTATTGTCCATATTTTATGTCTAGAAAGCACACCAGATGGCGATAAAAGATCAACATGGCTGCTCCCACATGAAAGTCAAATTCGACAATGCTTTGATTTATTAATTGATCAATTCCTTCACTTTTGTATTTCCAATTATCGTTAGAAATATTTAGGTAACCTATACCATACTTTTTAATTGTGCAATATGTCAAATCGGTGACATGCGTGTGATTATCATAAATAATCGAATATTATGTCTACGATACACCCGCGGTTGATTACAATTTTAATTTACATGTCATGAGCACCTTCCTATCTGAGTATCATTGACATTATAATGAGTGACAGTCCGCATCACTCACTCCTTCCCTGGACATATGTCTCAGTTTTCTGTATGTGTCTTCTCTAGTCTCGCGTCTTCAGAATGTTGGCCAGCACGCTCGCCCGCTCTCTGCAGCGTCTGACGATTCGGGTTGCCGCGGCGACGCAGCCGTCTCTGCGACCGTCGCTAACAACAACCGCCGCCTCCAGTCGTCTGCTACCGGCAGCGAGCCTGCAGCAGACGCCGTCCTTCGTCGCTCAGAGCTCTGCGCCGCTAGCGAGAGGTTTCCACACGACGACACCGCTGTGTAAAAAGCTGAGAGGACGCAAGCACAAGGTTCACCTGCGGTTTCAACGGAGGGTCATCGTTACGAAGATGCCGGCGTCGGGGTACACGACAAAGGCACTGCCATGCACGAAGACGGGAGGGCGAGATCTAGTGACAGGTGAGGAATAAAAAGAACAAAAGTAAAAAATGTTTTGGTGAAAATATTTGGTGGGCGGTTCTAAGGCAACGTTCTGTCTTTAATGTTAGAAATCTGGACGTAGATATGTGCTTGTAATGCAAATAAATAAGCCCTACTATTATCACTTAGTAAATACATTTCGCATTAAAATATAATATAATAATATAGAATATAACATAATTGCTGTACAAGTGGAAAGGCGTTAACGTCACCTGTAATAAACTTTTGTACATTAATTAGAGCTGATCGATTGATTCTGCTTCATTTCGTCCTTTGAGGAAACCTTCCTTCTTCCCAACCATGAACAATATATATCGTTGCTTGTGTTTTCTAGGTCGGGTCGTTAACCACAGAAGAGCCGGGGGAAACAAGGTTAAATTCCGAATGGTTGACATGCATCGCATAGGACCAACGGAAGGCGAACCGCTCCAAGAAAAGGTAGCTTTCAATCGCATTAGGTGATCGTGAATTTCTATTCGAGCCGTCGTCATCCACCGCAGCTCATGTTACGTGATGGGGTTAACAAAAAATGTTAGAAGTCCAACATTTAAGACAGGTCCAGTCTCATTGGTTTGGATGCCGCTCTCCCAGTTGCAAAACCCTCTGGCGTACTATTTGTCCTTTCGTTATACGTGTTATAATTAAGTTGAACGTGAATGCGTAGCGATTAATACGCGCGTTATAATTAACACCAATAATTAACTCGTTAAGGTGATGTCCATACACTACGACCCGCTGCGGAGCGCGAAGATAGCGCTGGTTGCCGGGGGCGACAAGAAACGCTTCATCCTGGCGACGTGTAACATGAAGGCCGGCGACATCATCAACACGTCCGGTCACATTCCGCGGATACCAGGTACGAGAACGTAGAGCCGCGTAGAAATGCTAGCCACCACACGCAGGTGCTAGAGGTGTGTCCGTTGCATGAAAGGTCATGGTAGTGGTGACAGCGTTACTTAGTGACAGGTACTGCAAAAGTAGAGCCGCGTAGAAATGCAGGCTTTCAAGTATTCCTACTTTTTCTACTTTTTTTGTCTTTGTGCCTAAGTTCTAATTTGTCCCTGAAATTCCTACTTTTTCTTAATTTTTTTTCCTATTTTTTACACTGGCCTCGATTATAGTATGAGTAAAAATTAATCCTGAAAGCCTGCATAAGTCCTACTTCTATAATAATTTTTCTAGCAAAATCCTACTTTTGTCTTCTTTTTTTGCAAATTTTCATCCTATATTTTTTTCGTGGGTCTGATTAAAAGCCTGAGAAATGCTAGCCACCACACGCAGGTGCTAGAGGTGTATCCCTTGCATGAGAGGTGCATTATTATAGTGGTGACAGCGTTAGTGGAAGTCATTGTTCATCGAGGTGTGTGTAACTTTGTAGCATTAGTTCCATTAGTAGTAACCATTAGTTCACATACACTCACGAGTACGTAAGCCGACGTACGCACTGCACGCACTTTACCATTCGTTTACATGTACAGACGAGTCTGTATACAAGGGTCCCTCAAAATCAATAGCGTCATTATACGCAGGTGATTATTTTGTAGAGGTGTCCGTTAACATAGGTTTCAGTCTATGTATACTTACACACCTGTACTTAATTAACTTACACACCTGTACTCATTCGATAATCATTATATTTACTATTACTTACTATTATTGATTATTATTATTGATATCGCGGACACGTCTACCCCGCGGTATCCCTCACGCCACGTTCCCCCGCGTCTCTCTCTCCGCAGTGAAGGCATACGAAGGAGATGCCTACCCGCTAGGGGCGCTACCGGTCGGTACGGTCGTCTGCTGCGTTGAGCGTTACCCCGGCGACGGCGGAAAGGTGGTGCGCGCCGCGGGAACGTCGACGACGATCCTCCGGCGCGTTGCCGGCGGCGACGTGATCGTTCAGCTTCCGTCGCGGCGCGAGATGCGCGTGAGCGAGCGATGCGTCGCGGTCGTCGGCCGCGTCTCCAACCCGGACCACGACAAGCTGACGCGCGGCTCGCCGCAGGCAAGCAGGTGGCTCGGCTACCGTCCGAAGAGTGGCTGGAGGCAGAAGAAGACTGGTTACCACGGACGCAAGCTGCGGCGGCCGAAGCCGGCGAGGGTGTACGACGCGCCGCCCGTGCGAGCGTACAGCGTACACCAGCTCAACCTGTGATCATCACCACCAGGCGGCAGCAGCGGGCGGTCGAGGAGCGGGGATGGATGCGGCGGGTTAACGTGGAGACGGACGTGGAGTGGAGGTAGGGAGATGTGGCGGTGGCAGCAGTAGGCAGCAGTAGCAACAGAGGTAGGGGTTAACACTGTAGCAGGGTCGAGGAAAAGACGGAAATATCGTAAAGTTACTCGTGAGTTTCACGAGCCATCTCAGAGTGTCTCGTACGCAGTGTATAGAGAGAGGTNCCACAGTCAAGCAGTGATCGTGACCCCGTCCGCCCATCTGTGTTAGTGTTGTACGGTGTTGTTAAGATAGCGTCTGCAAGGATTCATGATGACAAAATGTTTGTTTTCTCCATCTTTGTTTTTCGTCCATGTTTGTTTTGATGGTCACCTTCGTATGACGGCCATGTTTGTTTTGATGGTCACCTTCGTATGACGGCCATGTTTGTTTTGATGGTCACCTTCGTATGACGGCCATGTTTGTTTTGATGGTCACCTTCGTATGACGGTGATGTTTGTTTTGAGGGTCACCTTCGTATGACGGCCATGTTAATTTGTTTTCGCCATCTTCATCATTTGTCTGCTTCTCTGCGCAGGATGTACGTTGCCGACGACAACCACGCCCTCTCCAAGGTCGACGTGGAGTCGGACCGGTTCGTGCGAACCAGCCTCTGGTTCCTGCAGTACACAGAGTCCTCCGCCACCGCCGCCGCCGTCACCGCTCCGGCAGCCGATTAGACAGCAATCTTCGCGCTGCGGCCATATTTGATTCGTCGTATGCGCGCGCGTATCTTTGCACAGCGGCCATTTTTTATTTGTCTTCCGCACGCACGCGGTTTTGCGGTGGTGTCTTCCCCGGTGATTGTGGGTCGCAACGTCGTTCTTAATTATCTGTGATTATACGTATTTATGTGATACGCGCACGCGTGCCACGTCGATGAAACATCAGAGCCGTTGCCGCATCATTCATAAGTTGTGTCGGAATGCGGAGAGAGATATCGTCGTGGCGACGCCTGAGGTACGGCGCTCGATATCGTGACTGTATTTTTCTATAATTATGAAGATTCGTTTGAATTCTGTAAAGAAATTATGTAATAAATCACTGTAATAATAAATATGTATATATATACACTGTACCTGTTCGTCATTGAAATGCGTGTATTTGTTTAAAGAAAAAAACCTGGACATTGCTAGTGATTGAAAGTGCTGTGGTTACAACTTACAAGCAACGTTTGATGAATATGATGATAACACGTGCTAGGGGGTGTCGCAGTGATATATTGGTGATTTCTTGTCAATTTACTACCTAATACCCTAGCTAATAGCTGAATAATAGATTAAAACGTTAAATACAGAATTATGTCATTGCCAACCAAATACCGTTATTACGTACAAAAACTTGTACAATTCAATAGTGCGGGATAATGCAAATAAATTTCTTTTATTTTATTGAGAATTAATATCGTACCCGCAACACTATAGCCCATTTTAGATGCTATTTTTCAAATAACGCCTTCTAAATTTGACATTATGGCCTCAGCGTCCCTTGACCACAGTGTCCCCTGAGCTTAGCGCCCTGACTTCAGCACCCTCTAAACCAGGGAGCACCTTAAACCGGGTCACTTTCCCCTTCGACACAGTATCCCCTGAACTTGGGGGGTGAACTTGGGGGGTCATTGGCTGTGTGCTCCTACTCTCTGCTAGCACCCCCTACTATCCACTGGTCCGTGGAAGATTTCTCAGAGGGGGTATATACAGGGGGTTGTCTTTCTCCCACCTCCCTCCCCATCTCATGTGTATTTACGGTTACACATAACATACAATGTGCGCATATAAATTATTTCTACCGATAGATGGCGCGAGGATGTCATATTCGATCAAAGTCGCTGCTACATTATTGTAATACATACATCAAAGCATAGAAATCGCAACACTAACGGTTAGTGTTGCGATTTCTATGCATCAAAGTGTAGGATGGGAATTTCACGGCCAATCCTTTACCAGTCTTATCCAGTAAAAATTGTTTTGTATAGGTACTGTAATTATAATTCCACTCTACGTTAAATACGTTTTAGAGTATTATAATACTTTTAATAAGGCATTTTACGGTTACACACAACATACAATGTGCGCATATGAATTATTTCTATCGATAGATGGCGCGAGGATGTCATATTTGACGTGGCAATGATATCCCCTCTGCGCGCGAACTGCGCGTGTGTATGCATACAAGTAGTCGGTTCACGAGTTGATGGTGTTTGCCATGAGTCTACTACGTTCGCTCTGTGCCCTAAAGACATGTCACTACTAATAATATAATATTTTTTGGCTGGTTACGTGCCTGCTTTAGACTATTCCGTCTCACAGACGGGCTGGGGCAGTCACGTAGTAGTTATTTATAGGGTTTAGGAGGCAGGGACTCGGTGACAATCAGCATTATTATAAAGGAAGGGGGTACAGGGGGTTGTCTTCCTCCCGCCTCCCTAAGCCTTCCCCACTCCCCCACCTCCCTCCCCTTCTCCTCCCACCTCCCTCTCCTTCTCTTACCACCTCGCTCCCCTGTTCTCCTATCTCCCTCCCTCAACACCTCCTGGATCCTTTATATTTTGCATTTTCTTTTGCGTGATAAATGTATTTATTCTGTACAATGTATTTTCTCATGTATTTATTT